ACAGTTTGTCACAGCCCCTCGTTTGTTGTCCTCTTCTCCCTCTCTGCCTACGGTTTACCGGGCAGTTCTATTTGACGATATATAGATATATATATTGTCACAAACATATATATATATTTTCTAATTTTGGTGCAGAATTTCGATGTGACCCTGAGGCAAAAGTTGTTCAGTTTATTTTTCTTCATAACATAGTTTTTTTTCGGATTTTTTTTTATTTTTTTTATTATTATTATTTTTTTTGATGGTACCTTCCCTGGTCCTTGCACGGGCTGGCCACCCGGGACCCGGGCGGCCCGGCTGGTAGCCGAGCTTTTAAGTGCTTTTTAAAAATTAGTGTTAAAAGTTTAAAAGTTAAAACGTTTTTTTTGTCCTTTCAAAAAATTGGACCATTTCTCGATTTATGCCTATCATCCTTGAGTGCGCAGGGGCCATGTTAATCTTCTCTTTCTCTGTATCGTTCCAATTTTAACGGATGTTCCGAATGACAATTAGTGTTAAAAGTAACTTAAAACTTAAAAAGTTTTAAAACTTAAAAAGTTTAAAAACTTAAGAATTCTGTCTTTGCAGGGAGGCGAGGCTGCTGCTAGTGGACTGGAGCAGCAGTTGGCAATATTAGCGGCACGTCAGGTGAGGCGCTTCGAGGGGAGGGGATTCTCTCTATTTTTTAGTATTTTAGTATTTTCCCCGACTTCCTGCCTTTGTCTTTTCGGTCATTCACTTCCCCATCCTTTGCCCTCCTCCTCTCTACACCATTTCCAGCCCGCTCTGCCTTTTTCTTACCCATTCTCACCTAGACACCCTTTTTTTTTTTTAATAATAAGGTAGACCGCTCCTGCTTCCCTGTCCCCTTTCCTTTCTCTTTAAAAATAATAATAATAATAATAATAATAATAATAATAATAATAATAAAAATAAAATAAAAATCAATCGATGGTCCGCTGTCGCAGGAGTGGTAAGAGGACATCCTCCTCCTTCCCCTTCCCCTTGTCCTTCTCTTGGCTTCCTCTTCCCTTTTTCATTTGCTTTCCCCCAGGCCGCTGTTTCATCTCTCATCGCTCCTCTTTTTTTTTGGGGGGTGGGGCTGTAGGAAGGCCCCTGGCTTTTGATGTCTCCAATCTTCTTCACGGGGAGCGATACATCCTGGGAACCGAAGAGTGTGAAGGGAGTACAAAACGGGCGATTACGGCCCCCGGGTTAAACTGACTCGAACTCAGTTGAGCTGACATTTCGTTAAAACTGACATTCTTTTCTAACTGCACGAAAGTGGACTTAGTCAAAATTCCATTGGTCATTGGGTGAGGAAGTGGTTATCTCACTCTGATCATCTAATGCATGTCAACGTAAAGTACCGTCAAAATACATACGAGGGTCCAATCATCGGGGTTCGTCATGACGCCTGACCATGAGATAGTCCGTAGGGGTGAGTGTGCTTGGGTACACCGTGTGGCTGCGTAAGGGTGAGTGTGGTTGGGTACACCGTGTCGCGGGATCTCCGTGCTGGGTTGGGGTGAAGTGCTCATCTTCGGGTTTCACTTTCACCCCAGCCCACTTAGCCTTATGGTTAGGTGTTCGCCTGCCGAGTCATTGGTTGTGTGTTCGAGTCTTGTATTCGGATTACACGTGCTTTCTCGGAGTAACCGCCGTAGAGATTGTACTATGTGCAGTGTGGCTGCGTAGGGGTGAGTGTGGTTGGGTACACCGTGTCGCGGGATCTCCGTGCTGGGGTGGGGTGAAGTGCTCATCTTGGGGCTTCACTTTCACCCCAGCCCACTTAGCCTTATGGTTAGGTGTTTGCCTGCCGAGCCGTTGGTTGTGTGTTCGAGTCTTGTATTCGGATTACACATGAGATAGTCCGACGTCATGGGGACACAAAAACACGCAAAAAAAGAAAACTGTGTTTTTTGAACTTTTTTTCGTATGCTCAATTTCGTGAATTTAGAAAAAAAAGGTCAGTTTTAACTTTTAACGAAATGTCTGTTGTTGGCAATTGAAAGCAAAGACATCTCACCATCAAATCAGAACACACATAGAGTAGAAGCGAAAAAACATTGAGGTAGCGCAAAGAAAGTAATGCTTCATCAAAATAACGTCGTGGAAACAGAAGCATAACCGCAATAGCTCCCAGCTCTTTTTCTTCGAGCATTCTTCTTCCAGCAGCGGATTTGCACTTTGCGCCGAAGGAAAAATGAATTGTCGTCGGCGACTCGGCGCACCTTTTCTCTGTTTTTTTTTTGGCTGGCATCGCCAGCCATTTTGCCCCGGTAGCAGTGCGCTATCGTAGCACTGTTTATTTGAAGACCCCGGATTGATGGATTTTTTATTCTCCGATTTGCCTATACGAGGTACTCCTGGTTTAA